CCCGCCTCACTTGTTCTCCAGCACGACATCTGGCCGCCACACCATGGTGGACGGCACCCTCAGCACCCACAGGCCTTCGTAGTCCTGCGGGTCCCAGCGAAGGCGATAGTCGCACCACTGCTGCAGGGAGAGGAGGGTTTGCCAGGCCTGCTGTCTGGGTGCCCCCCCGCCTCCCCACAGGAACAGGAGCCCAGCCCAGGGGCACAGAAGAGGCAGGAGGGGAGGAGGGCAGCTTTGAGGGCCTTGGGGCCCCGTGGTGTGGGCCCTGAGAGAGGAAAGAGGGTGAGAGGCAATCTCTTACCATCTCTATCCAGACGTTGGTGGTGAGGGCCTCTTCTCTCTCATTCTGGGGGTGCAGACCGAGGTGTAAGCCCCCAACAATGGTCCTCCCAGATACTAGTCCCTACAGGTCATTGCTGGGTCCCCCAGAGCCCCAGCCTTTTGGGCAGTCTCCATGGGCGTGTTCTAGCTCCTTCCTCTCCCTAGCAGGTCCCTGGTCCCTCCTCCCTGTCGTCCTACAAGCCCCGTGGCTCACCAGGGAGATGAGGTTGGTGAGGGTGAGCTTCAGGCTGACGTTGACCACGTCCGCTTCCCGCTGAGCAGGCCGCAGGAGCGGGTTGTAGCCGTGCATCAGGTCGGCCAGCAGACGCTCTTCCTGATTCCGGCCATGGGCTCCTGAAACAGACAGCAGTAAGCCTGGGCGCAGGAACTTTGGGGCAGAAAGAGAGGGAGGCCATGAGAGGATGTGGCCTGGAAAAGCAGAGAGCTGGGGTTGAGGGCAGGCTCCCATAGCCCTCCCATCCCTCGTCTCCTGAGGCCTTGGTCCCCTGCCCCGGTCTTCCCCAGGGCCCCAAGCCCGTGTCCACACCCAGGCAGATAGCCAGCAGCGGCAGGAGGAACAGCTGCCCCTGACCCCCGAGCATGGTGTCACAGCTCTCCGAGGGGACAGGAGTGGGACGGCAGCTCCCCAGGTCTGAGGCTGAGAGATGCAGACTCTGGTCTCATATAACAGCCCACACTCCCACCCCAGTCAGCCCGGCCAGGCTGGCCCAGCCCCACAGCTGTCTGACCACAGCACTGTCAGCTGTTCTAGGATGGACAAAATGCCAGGCTCGGGTTACCTGGGCTGGGGAGGGGACAGAGGGGCCATCTGCTCCAACAGAGATGGTCCAGCCTCCCTCCCCCCTCCGTTACAGTTGTCTCAGATTCATGTCCAGCAGGGGAGCTGAGGATGAGGCCGGGGCCTTGTGGGTGTGGGAGAGAAGGCAGAGTGCTTAGAAGAGTTTCTGCTCCCGCTCCCTCCAGCATGTCAGGATGTGGGGAGGTGTGAAGGCTTTGGGTGAGACATGATTTGTACCCGCGTTTCTCTATGACATAGCTGAGGACCCCAAACCTCTCCCACCAGCCTGACATCTTAATGGATCACTCCACTGGGCCAACACACCAGAAGGCACAACGCCTACAAGAAAGATGCATGATGTGTCCTAGGTTTTGACACCTTAACACAAATCAGGGTGCCAGGTCAGGATCCTTCCTGCCTCTGAGGCATGGGTCCCTGGTAAACTTTGTCGGAAGAAGGGCTGAGAAAGAACTGAAACTGGGGGCTCTTGTGAATAGGACAGCCCCTGAATAGGGGTTCCTAAGTATTTATTAAATCATCTGTAGACTTATGGTAGGCACAGCTCCGGGCTCGTTGGACTCAGGATACACGGGAGCTGCTCGCAGGAGCTCACAGCCCATGGGACAGACAGACAAGAAGTTGTGGCCCCCTCAGAGTCAGATACAGGAACCTACTAGGGCTGGAAAACAAGCTCCATCCGCTTCATGGTTTGTGGTCACGGGAAGGGTGGGGCTGAGCTGATCTGGAAGCCGATGGCTGTGTCACAGGCTCAGGCCACCTGTCTTCTGACCATTTATTCCAAGCAGACAGGTCAGCATGTCCCAGTTCATGGGCAAGACAGAAAATTCAGTTTCCCATTCATGCCACCCACCTTTCAGTATCTTAGGGGACAGGGTGGCAGATGCCTCTGAGGTCTGAAGGAAAGCACCATTTGAGGGCCATGTCCCCACCCCACAAATGAATGATGTCTATGACTTTTCTTTAAAAAAAAATATTTTTATTGATTTCAGAGAGTAAGGGAGAGGGAGAGATAGAAACATCAATGATGAGAGAGAACCATCAATTAGCTGCCTTCTGCACGCCCCATTCTGGGGATCGAGCCCACAACCTAGGCATGCGCCCTTGACTGGACTTGAACCCAGGACCCTTCAATCCGAAGGCCGACACTCTATCCACTGAGCCAAACCAGGTAGGGCTGTCTGTGGCTTTTCAATGTGTGTCAGTAAACCGGAAGTCATCTGACACACCCTGTCCTTGGCGATCCAAAGGAGAGGTTGGCTCAGCCCTCAGCCCCTTGGAGCAGGGCCACAGGCTCCTCCTGTCCTCACCGGGACTGGGAGGAGGGGAGGCGGCAGTGGTAGCAGCTGCCTCCCTGGACATCTGCTTGTCCTGTGTCTCGGCTGCCATCCTTACGTTCAGTTCTGCTCTAAGCCCCACACCTGATTTTCCTTGACAGCATCCCCACCCCAAGCTTTGATCTCTCCATGCACCTGGGCTACTTTCTCTGGAGTTTACAAAACCAATGTCCCCTTCTTCCTTCTTCTGGTGCCCCCAGACTCCATTGCCTCACACATTTTGCAGAGCAATAGCTCTTGCCTCTAAAAACCACACTTTGCCAAAGATCATTAATGGCTTCTGCTCAGTAATGGGGCACCCATCCCGCTCCCTCTCCCTGGCACCATCCTCCCAGGCACAGGTCCAGGCACAAATGGTTCAACTGATGCTTCAGCATTTTTTACTTTGCCTTCTTCCTTCCCCACAGTGTTTGGGAGGGAGGTGAAAGGGAGAAGATGGAGACTGATTTCTCTCTGCTTTGAATTATGCTACCTCCCTATGTATGAAGTTTTAAATTCCTTTTTTTTCTCCTCTCTGCTCTGGCCAAGTGGCTGAGAAGTCTCCTTGGTTCTCAGGAGGGCGAACTGCCTTTGAGGGGCGGCAGTATCTGGCCTGGAGGGGTTAAAGGGAAGGGATGGGACCCATTCAGAGGAAATCTTCTGTAGGTGTCGTTTATTGTCTAACAACTACTCCATCACCACCTTCTACTCTAGAGGCCGGAAAAGTGAAATGTTCATTTCCCAGGCTCCTTTGCAGCTGAGAGTGGCCATGTGATAACTAGTGGTATCTCTGCAGAAGTTGGCTGAGGGCCTTCAGGGAAGCTTTTGCTTCCTGATAAAAAGGGGTCAGAAATGGCTGGCCCCTTTCCTGCCTTGAACACGGATGTGAAATGCGGAGCTGTGGCAGTCAACAAGCCTGGGTCCCTGGTAGCTTTGTGGGACAGCTGAAGCAACCATGCAGCCACAGCCCTGCCTGCGATTCTTACTGTGTGAGAAAGAGGGAACCTCCATTATTTAAGCCATGACTCGGGGGGTCTTCTGTTCCTTGCAGATCAGTGCGTTCCAAATGGAGTCATCACCCTTTGAAAGAGGGTGGGCAGCCCAGCTGGCCTGGGGAGTCGTGTAGGGACAGCCCTGGCTTCATGGACAGCTGGCCCCTGCGGGTGTGACTTCCTATGGGGAGAAGATGATAGAGTTCCACGCCCCCCAGAGAGTGGACCAGCCCTGACAGCACCTGGAACCTGAGTGCTGGGGGAGTGGGTGCTATTGGGGGACCCTCGGTGGCTATGGGAACCTGTACAACAGGCAGTTTGGATTGGGTGTGGCATTTGGAGTTGTCTTTTCTGGAAGGCTCACAGCTACCTGAGCTAGGCCTGACACCACTGATCATCTGCTGATTGAGAAGACCCGCTGCCAACAGCACCACCGTGTGGCAGAGAGAAGCAACGACTGCCCGGGGAATCTAATCCAAGTCCCCTTTCTTCTGTGCTTGAAATAGGGACCCTCTGCGAGTTGGTGGACGGAAGTGGTGGACTACTCCAGGGAAGGCCCAGATTTCCTGCTCATCGACAGGTGTAAGTCCAAGCTAGTTGGAAATTCAAAATGTGTACCTGGAATTTGTAGGTTATTTATATTGGAAGGCAGAAGTAAGTAGGGCCAGTTTTGGTATTCTCCTTCAGTTCCATTGAAAAACTAAACATGTCACCTTCTGTATAGCTGAGCTCATGAGGCTATAGGCACCTCCTGAGGGAAATGGGTTGAGCTGTGAAGACCTTAAGCCTGGACCTCAGGAGGTGAGTTATAGGGCCATCTGCCCCTGCTCCAGTTCTCAGCCACCACACCAGGCTTGACGTAGGAGACTTCACAAGAGGAGTCCATCTTCTGCGACTGAGGCCCTCCCACAAGAAACGAGATCAGTAATCACCTCTTAATTTGTAGGACACATGTAGCAATTTTTATTCTCACAACATCCCGTGAACGGGTCTTATTTTATGCATATTTTGCAGATGAGAAAGCGAAAGCTGAAACATGAGGAGTGGCTCGACCAAGGTCACACAGCTCCAAACTACTCAAAACTTTGTCTCTTAAAGCTACAAACATTTATTATCTCCCACAGCTTCTGGGGCCAGGAATCCCGAAGCACCTCCGCAGGGTAATTCTGGCTCAGGGGCTATCGTGGGGAGTGTGATTGTATCCAAAGGTCCTGCTGGGGCTGGAAGATCCACTTCCAAGTTCACCCCAGGGGCTGCTGGCAGGAGGCCTCCGCTCCTTGCCTGTGTGCCTCTCCATAGGGTGCTCTCCATGCCTCCTGGCTCCCCCCAGTGAGAGAGAGAGTGAGAGTGAGAGTGAGAGTGAGAGTGAAGGAGGGAGAGCCAGAGCAGGGCAGGGTGGGGGCATTTTGGTGTCTTCTATAACCTAACCTCGGAAGTGACATACCATCACTCCTGCCTCACTCTGTTGGTCACCCAGACCAATCCTGGTGTGGTGTGGAGGGCGCCACATGGAGGTATGAGTACAGGAAGTGGGGATTGCTGGGGCCATCCTGGAGGTGGGGGACCTCACAGAACCTCCTCCAGCTCCTCCAGCTTCAGGCTTTGGCCCTTAGGATAAGATTGATGAAGTCCCCTTTGGGGTAAAGTTGCTAGATTTAGCAAATAAATATATAAAATGCACAGTTAAATTTGAATTTCAGATAAATATAAATAATTTTTTTAGTTTTGCCTGGCAACCCTACTTTGGAGGAGAGGAATAGGAGACCCCAAGGGGACCCTCTAGGGAAGGGCTGAGATCTGGGGCCTGGGGTAGTCCGGGTGAGCTGATGGGCTGACCTCTGGCCTCGGTAGCTGCTGGGCCCAATCCTCCTGCCCTAGTCCTCAGCTCCCTACAGGGACCCAGACAGAGTGACTGAAGCAGAAAGAGCTGGGAAGGACATTCTCAAACATTGGTGCTCCCACCTCTGCCCAAAACCTCCTTCCCTAAGGGGTCTGGAAAGGGAGGCTCCTGGGGGCCTCAGAAGCCAAGGCTGAGGGTTGACAGCTGTAGGAACCAGGCAGTGAGGGCACAGGAGCCCACCTGCTCTACCCCCACCTAGAAGAAGGGGAGGCAAGAAGAGGCCACTTTTTCACAGAGGGGTCCCAAAAGGCCAGCCTGAATGACATTTTCCCTGGCCCTTGAGCTAGGCCCCTGTTTCCCCCAAAATCGTCCGGCCCCACCCACCAGCCAGTGTCCACTCTCAGACCTTCTCAGTGGCTCCTATCTTTATTCATTGAGGAGTGGGGCTTCACCTTTCCTCGTCTTGGGAGGCACAGCTCACCCCCACCTCCACCGTGCGGAACAACTGGGCTCACGTCTCAGGGCCAGGAGTTGCCTCCCTAAGAGGAGCACGTCCTTTCTCAGACACCCCTGTCCACACAGCTCCCTGTCACCCTGAAGGCCCACCCCTGAAGGCGCAAAGCCCCTCCGAAGCAGCCCGGGGAGCTGGGCCAGGCCAGGCAGGGAGGCCCTCTAGATGAAACGCTTGTCTTGCTCCAAGTAGGAGAAGGGGTCCCCGGGGAAAGGCTGGGGTGGGGGCTGGTTGTAGGCCCCCTGCAGGAGGATCCAGGCCGTGCCCACCACCATGGTGGGCGTCACCACAAACAGACAGAGTTGGTCTATTGTGCTGGCTATCCGGTTCCAGCAGTCCTTCTCCTGGGGAGAGGGAAGGGGACAGAGACAGTGGGGTGAGGAGGGCCCGCAGAGCACAGGCCCACGCCCCCAGCTGGGGCCCCGTGACAGACGTGTGTCGATAGGTGCCACCTCCGGCTCACAGAACAAGGGGGCCTTCTGCATGTCCCCAGCCAAGGCCCAGGCCCTCCTCTGGCCACAGGCAGGCCTGTCACGCTGTCAGCCCAGGAGACGAAGAGTGGGGCCACGGTCTTTATCCCAGCCACTCAGTGCTGCTGGGAGCCCCAATGGGAACTGGAACAGGGCGTCCTTTTCTCAAGAGGAAACTTTAGAAAGTTGTGTTGTATTGAACAACCATAGAAGGCTGCCTTTTAAATGCCTGACTGTGTCTGTAGTATCAGGCTTGGAGTTGAGCAGGGAGGGAAAATGACTGGCAGCTGGGAGAAAGAAGGGACCCTAAGGGATGTCCAGAATGTGAAGACATGTGCCTGTGTGCACACCTGAGTGTGTGCCTGGCCCAGTGAGCTGTGAGAGGATTCTAGGCAGGGGCTTCCCGATTCTAGGGGGCCTGGATTTTGCATCCATTGCCAACTCCTTCCTCTAAGTTGGCATGGGTCTCCGAGAGGAACTGTGGCCCCTTGAGATAGGCTACCCTCACTAGCACACAACAGGGACACCTGTGCACACCACTCACTCACCTCATTGTAGTTGTTCTGATCCCTCATGTGGTTGACGATGAAGTTGGCCCCCTCCACAGCTGGCTTCAGCTCACTGAAGAGGTCATGCTGGGCCTGCTCAGAGCCTGCAGGGGGCTGGCCTGAGGAGACAGCCCCGAGGCGGGCGTGAGCCCTGCCCTCCCCCCTTCCCCACCTCCCACAGAGGGGCCACACCCAAACCATTGGGACCCACGTGCTGTGGCGAGGCGCCGGGCCAGCCCGTGCCGCTCTGACTGCTTCTCGAACATGAGGTCACTCCGGGACTTGAGCGAGAAGTACTCCTCGGCCTTGGAGATGTAACCCAGGGAGCTGCTCCTCCGGACCAGGGCCCCGGGGCTGGGGCTGTCCTCCTCGGGGAGGGACAAGTGTAGGAGCCTGGGCAGGGTCTCTAGGAAAAGCTGTGGCAGATCAGGGGGACACGGGAAGGCCATTTAACCAACACGGGTTGCCTTCATCCATCCAAACGCCTGTGACCCCATTTCTGACTGCCACAAAGTGCCAGGCAGGATTTTACAGATGCCAACCACCACCTATCAAAAGTTATCCCCAAACGGTTCCCTTAAGCCTCCCCACATCAGCTCCTTCTCGTCCCCAGAGGGAACCACCGTCCTGACTTTCATCTCTAGCATTTGGTTTTGCCTGCCCTTGAACTTCAAGCAATTGTGCAGCCTGTGTTCTTTTGTGTCTGGCTTCTTACAGGTAACAGTACCCGTGGGAGAGCCATCCGCGCCTGCGGGCGTGTGTAGCAGCGGTTGGTGCGTTCGCACTGCAGGGAGCACTCGCCCACATGAAGTATCCCAGTGTGGTTGCCCAGACAGCCCTCACCTTCTTGACCCCCTCGGACAGCACGTGGGTGCTGGGCGTGCGGAAGTGGATGTTGAGCACGATGACACAGATCACCACGACCATGGTCACCAGTATCATGCCGAAGAGCAGGAACCTGTGGGCACACGCTCAGCCTGGAGCATCCAGGGTGTGGCAGGACACGGCAGGGCAGGGCAGGGTGATGTGGGGCGGGGCACGGCGCGATGGGGGTGGGGTGAGGCGAGGTGGGGTGTGGCCGGGAGGAATGGGGTTACATACTTGCCGATGAGGGGGACGGCTACGGATGTGGCCGGCAGCCGCTTGGAGATGAGCAGCAGGAAGACAGACTGTGCCAGCAGCACTGAGATTGCCATTGACGTCTTCTCGCCACCTGAGGGAGCCTGGACTTAGCTGTGATCGCTGGTCCCTGAGGACCCTGTGGACCTCGCATGGTTGTTCACAATACCGGGGTGCCCTAATTAGCATAACGGGCTTTGTTGCTAAAGTGATTGGATTCAGATCCCAGCTCTGACACTTACTGGCTGGGTGACCCTGGGTGTGTAGCCTAACCTCTCTGTGCTTCCGTTTTCTCAATTGTTAGATGTTGAGAAGACCAAGTGGGAGAGTATCCTGAGTGCTGGTCACTCCTCCTGGAACTGAGTAAGACCTCAAACACCAGCTGTCACCATTAGCAATGCCCTGCCACTCAGCCCTCCTAAACCGTAGATCTGTGCGTGTCCCCCGCATAGTCAGCACCAGAGGAACACCCCAACTCCAGCCCGGCCCTGAGCAGACCATGCGGTGGCCACTGTGGCGCGGGGTCCCGGGCCCTGCCCCAGCACCCTTTTTCTATGTGCAGTGCACCGCTCACCCTGTCTCAAGCAGGGGCAGGCCTGGATGGCATTTGTCTCTGGGACTCGCTGTGCCTGTTCATAGTAAATATCCCAGAGCCAAGTAAGCATGGGTGACGTGTGTCCTTCTAGAACTGGTGAATGGGGTTGCGTATCTCCATACCTTGGTTCTCTAGAGCTCCCATGCCCGCACGCCCCCCATCCCCCAATAGACTCAACCACCGATGGCCTCCTGGGTGCCAGACCCACGGCCACATCAGACCTGTCTCCTGCTCTGACAACATGCCCCTCATGCCTGGACCCTGGGCAGTGGTGACCCCAGGGAGCTCCCAGGAGGAATGAGAGGCTGGCTGAGGCCGGGTGAGAGGCTCACAGTCGGCTGGCAGGTAGAAGACCAGGTTGATCATGAAGGAGATGAGCACACAGGGCACCAGGATATTGATGATGTAGAAGAGTGGCTTTCGGCGAATGATGAGGTAGAAGGTAATGTCCTGGTGGTTGGGGCTGTCCAGCGGGGCACTGGGGTCCATGTTGATCTTGGCTGGCCGGTGCACTATCTCCCACTCCCCATTCTCTGAGGGCAGCACGCAGACACCTTGGAGTCAGTCTGGGCAAGGGGGCTAAGGCGGGGCCTCGGGGCAAGGTGAGGGGCTGGTGGAGTGAGGCCCCCTGCAGGGGCAGCCAGGCCTGTCTGCAGGGCCCTGAGGGGGGCACTCAGAGGAAGGATCAGGTCCTGTTTGTGGGCCTTTCCCTGGGGAATGGGTTGGAGATTTCCCAATCTGCAAGGGAGAATTTTTCCTCTGGGATTAGTTTTTGTTTTTGTTGTTGTTTTCTCTTTGGAAAACATAAAAGCTGAGGCCTCATGTGGCTCAAATGTGGAGTCTTGGGGATAACAAGGCAGTGAGAGTAAGAACCCCCTCCCCCAAGGTGTGATGGATCAGCGGATTGTGGGTCCCCTCTGATGGACAGGGGTGACCCCATAAAAGATCTGAGCCAGGCCCTAGCCTGTTCAGCCCTATGGATAGATCATCGACCTGTGGACTGAAAGGTCCCAGGTTTGATTCTGGTCAAGGGCACATGTCTGGGTTGCAGGCTTGATCTCCAGTAGGTGGCATGCAGGAGGCAGCCAATCAGTGATTCTCTATCATCATTGATGTTTCTATCTCCCTCTCCCTTCCTCTCTGAAATCAATCAATATATATATATATATATATATATATATATATATATATATATATATATAAAGATCTGAGCTTGGTCACAAGTAGGGGGTGGAGGAGGTATTGGGAGGGGATGACATACACCTTATCAGGATGACAGTTGAAGCCCCACCATACCCCTGGGTGCTCCAGGACCAAAAGACTAACTACCCCCTCACCTGTCAGCCACATCCATCCCCAGGGACCTGCTCAAACCCGGAGGGTCTTCTGGCCTGGGCAGAGGCTAGAGTGGGCACCGTGTTCAACTGTCTCTGCGTTTGGAACACAGTCTCCCAGCCGCACTCCTTTTCCTCTCAGTATGCTGGATTGGTGGTGGTGGTGGCGGTGGCGGCGGTGTGTGTGTGTGTGTGAGGTGTGGGTGCACAGGCGAGCATCTCGGCAGTGTCCCTGTGACTGTATGTGTGTCTGTCGGGCAGGTCCTGAGGGGCCTGCCCTCCTGCCCACCCGCCAGCTGCCGCTCCCAGCACCTGTGAAGCCCTCGGGGTCGATGATGATCCACTCCACAGTGTATGAGCGCTTGTCTTCTTCCTCCTGCTTCAGGCTCAGGGTGATCTCCTTGGCCGTGTACTTGAGCGAACTGGGAAGGGCAGTGGGTAGAGGGTGGTTCTCAGCCTCGGGCTGGAGAGATGCCCCAGGGTTAGAGAGACCATTGTGGGGGAGGGGAGCTCTGCTTGAAGGTGGCCCCGGCAGGGTGCCCTGGGGGGAGGGGTGGTTGGAGCAGTGGGTGCACCTGAACTTGAGGGAACAGTTCTGCCAGTCAAAGGGGAAGTAGGTGACGGAGATGGGACAGGAAGAGCGGAAGATGGCAGGCGGCAGCCAGAACACTTGGCCTGACGGATAGACCAGCACGTTGCAGGCGTAGGAAATCTTGAAGGTGCCGTCATTGCTGGGGACAGGGACAAGGGCCACAGTGAGCATGGGCCAGCTTCCAAATGGCAGGGTTGGGGAAAGCAGAGGAGGGAGGGCAGGTTGGGGCTGGAGGGGGAGGCTCAGGCTATTTAAGGAAGGGAGGTCGAGTGATGAGGGGAGGCCAGCGAGGGCTGAAGCTCTACTTGTTCTCCAGCACAATCTCTGGGAGCCACAGCATGTCCGGGGGCAGACGCAGGACGCTGATGTTCCCAAAGTCCTCGGCATCCCACTGCAGCCGGCTGTCCATCCAGCCCTGGAGGCAGACAGGAATGCCAGCAGTGGGTTCTGCTATTGTCCTGACCCCTTCACTCCCCCCGATTTCCCCGAGGGAAGGCAGGGCAGGGTCTAGGGCTGTGACAAATGAGGTTTGGGGAGGTGGGTATGGAGGGGGGACTCGGGTCTGTCACGTAGGACGCACACTACACAACTAAAGGAACATTATTCCCGTTGTGGATCTAGGAGACGAATGCCAACGTTATGATCTTCTGACAGGTGGCAGAGCGTGTCTCCTAATAAAATCAGGATAGTGACAATTTCCCACAGATGAAGAATCTCAGTCCACCCAAAGGCTCTGGCTGGGCTGATGGCTGCACTAGGTGGGCAAAGGCAACTGGCAGGGGTTCCTCTGCAGGCAGGAGCCAGCGCCGCCCGCAGGAAATGTCTGAGGCAGAAGCGGGCACAGGGAAGCCTAGGCCCTGCACCCTCTCCGAGCCCCCTGCTCTGAGCGAGGTGTTCTTACGTGCTCAATCCACACATTAGTGGTGAGGGTCTCCTCGACTTCTTTCTGTAAGCAAACAGGAGGGCTGCATCATTCCTTCAGCTGCAGGCATTCACCAGGCACCTCCTCCCGGCTGCCACCCAGGGGAATCCAGGGCAATTGGCCTGACCAAACTCCTACCCCAAGCACTCAGGAGTGGGCGGGCAGGGCAGGGAGCAGGGAGGACACAAGGCCTCTGAAGTATGTTATGGGGGTGATATGGGGGAACAGCAGGAAGGGAGGGGTACCAGCCTGAGGGTCTGGGGGCAGAAATGGCACCAAGAGAGGAGCTGCCACAGGCCGGCCCTCGGCCTTGAGCTCCCCTCGTGGCCATCCAGACCGGGAGAGAGCCAGGCCACAAGGAAATTGTCCCTGCCCTCCAGCCCCCAGCCCAGCCATGGAGGGGCCACTCACCAGGGAAATGAGGTTGGAGAGGGTGAGGGCCAGGGAGACGTCCACGCTGTCCTCTTTGCGAGCCACAGGCCGGAGCTCCTTGTTGTAGGCCTTCTCCGTAAACAGGTACCGGATCAGCCGCTCCTCCTCGTTTAGACCCCAGCAGCCTGGGGACAGTTGGGGAACAGGAACGGGTGCTGGGCAGGGGCCCAGGAGTGGGGCCCTGGTGGTCGGTCCTCCAGGGAGAAATGGCAGTGGGAGTGGGGAGGGGGCCATGAGGGGACGAGGCTTTGGGGGAGCTGGGTGGGTGGGATGATGTCCAATCTTACCACAGACAACCAGGGCGGCCAGCAGTCCCAGCGTTAACACAGGCCCCTCCATCCTGTCTCCCCAACTAGGTCCTGCATCTGCTCCTGTGCACTGGGCTGGGGAATGCGGGTGAGTGGCAGAGGGGACAGGTGCAGCGTGGGGGTGGAGGAGCTGAGGAAAGAGGCAGCCGGAAATGCAATCCGATGCCTCTGTGCTCTGCTGTAGGGCAGAGATCCCGGGGCAGGTGATGAGGGGGTGAGGATAGGAACTGGCTAGCAGGGCAGGAGCCCAAGGACGTGAGGCAAAGATCCCGGGCTAGGGGTCCCCACAGCTAGCCAATGGGCCGAGGGCTGGGTGGAGGCACTGGACACGGTGGACGGTGCTGGTCAGCCACGGAGTTGCGATAAGCAGGTCAGCTGCCATTTCTTGGGTGGCAGACAAGTCTGCTCAGATGGGGGCTTAGCAGCCCAGTCCCGTCTTTGTGACTCCTAACAACTGCTTCTGAAGGCTGGACCTGCCCTGCAGGGGCCCCACTCCCAGAGCTGGTGTCCGCCATCCAGTTCCCTCCCCACAAAAGCTCCAGCATTGTCTCGGCACCTCATAAATAACGTTTATTAAAGCAGCTGTGATTTTCTGATGACACATCTGGGAAGACATGTGGGTCCCCACCCCCTCCCCCCCTCACACCTGGGCAACTGCAGCTCCCTGAACCCTCCCAGCCCCTGGGAGCAGGAGGTCCTAACCAGTGGCTGGGGGTGCAGACATGGCTCATGGCTGTCTGGCTGGAGGAACCTGAGGGCCCTGTGGGTGCTGACCCCCAGCTCTGCCTCGCACCCACTCAGGCTCCCTGGGGCTCTGCCTTGGCCTGAGCAGCCAAGCGGAAGGCCTGCAGGGCCTGCACCAGCAACCGGGGAAGGCTTCGAGCCAGTGTGGCTGGCTCCAGGCCCACCAGGCCCCCAAAGACCACACGCCGGTCTCCCAAGCCAGCCCGAACCCAGGCTCGGAAGAGCCCTGTTATCGTCTTGGAGCTCAGATCGGCCAGGACCTGCAGAGGGAGGAGGGTGCTCAGGGGCTCCAATGCTACTCTTTGTCCCCTCCTCCTGGCCCCCCAAACTCTCACCCAAACCCACCCCCTTCCTTTCAACCCCACAGCCCTGCACACTTCCTGCCCCTCCACTCACATCTTCCCTCTCCCCACCACACCTTCATGCCCACCCAATACCCTCGCTCACACACAGCTGCCCTTCCTGCTTCCTCTTGGATTCTGGCCCCCCCCCAGGCTATGGGGGTGAAGCCCTCCCTCCTTCCGGGGAGGGTGTCCGTTCTGTCCCCCTAGGTCTGCCTCAGAGGCCACTGTGGAGGAGTCGGGAAGCCTGGAGACCTACCTCCTGGAAGTCCATGGCCAGGCGCTCTGGGGGGACCTGAAGGATCCAGGCATGGGTGTCCTGGAGGGTGGCCAACTTCTGTCGCAGGGGCTCCAGGCCAGGGCAGTCTGCAGGAGAGACACCAGCACCTCAGGACCACCTCCCATGCCACAGATGGGAAAACTGAGGCTTAGAGAGGTCAAGTGATAACAAAGTCGATATTTTCTGACACTAATGAGGACCCAAAGCCACAAGTAGCCCCAAAGGGTCATTCCCCTGTTTCAGGGGAGGAGTAGAGAGGGTCTGCCCGGTGCCTCGGGGTAAGGGCTTTCCCCATGCAGATTCCAGGAGAATCCCCTCGGGGCCTCCGCCAGCTCTCGGCTACTCCCCTGGCGACGGCCAGCAGGGGGCGCAATTACCTCGCGAGTCTCCACGCTGCTCCGGCCTCCGCTTGGGGAATAGGGTCCCTGCAGCCGGTGATCCTGGGAAGACGCAGGATTAGGGAGAAGCCTCAGCCGCCCAGGGGTGGGCCGGGGCTGGGCTGCCAGGGCTCGGGGTACCTGGGTGCAGCCGTTGCTCGGGGGCGCGGTGCCTAGGAGTCTCCCGGGGCGACGGAGCGGGGCGAGCCAGGGCGCGGGCCCGGCGCCGCATCCCTGGGCTCGGGCCGAACAGCTCCTGGGCGCCCCGCAGCAGCTCCAGCAGCGTGTGCGCCAGCGAGCGCAGCTCTGCGGGCGGGACGGGGTGCGGTTGGCGGCCAGGCGTGGGCGAGGAGGCTCCCTGCTCCCCCGCCCAGCGCGGGGGACGGGACTGACCGCATCGCCGGCGGCGCTGCAGGCATTGCTGATGCGCTAGGGACGCACAGGCGCCCTGGGGCCCGGGGCACAGGCGGGCGTAGAAGGCGCAGGGCGGGGCGGCGTCTGCCGGCGGCTCCTCGGGCGGGTCCCAGGCCAGAAGCTCCCTGCAGCTGGGCTCGCGGCTGGAGGGGGCCGCTGCGGAGAGCGGCGGGGGCTTGCTCACCTCCCCATCCCGCCCCCCAAGTCCTGCCTCGGAGGGAGGCTTTCCCCGTGCAGAAGGGGGCGGGCCGCACGCGGGGAGGACGTGAGCTCGGGCTCGTCCCAGAGCTATTCTGCGGGCGGGACGCCGCGGAGGGGACAATGGGAATCCAGCACTCACCGCTCATCTGCTTCTGCAGCCAGTCCCTGAACACGGCCACGCGGGTGTAGACCCCTGGCTTCCCCGGCTCCCCGCATCCGTCCCCCCAGGAGGTGATCCCATACAGGACCTCTCTGGGGCGGGGGCCAGGCTCAGAGCAGGTGAGGGGGCCTCCAGAGTCACCCTGCGGGCACCAGAGCCTTGAGAGAGGGCACTGCATCGACCCCTCGCCCCGACCCCACTCGTCAGCCTTACAGCTGCAGGATTAGGCAGCTCGGAGCCCTGCTGCGGCTCTTGTACCCATTCTAGCCACGAGGACGTAGAGGCTCAGAGGAAAGTGGGCTGTCCCGCCCCTAGAAAGCGGCCCTCCAATCAACTGGGGCTCGTACCTGGCACGAGTCGATGCCCCCGGCCAGGTAGCCGGCACAGAGCATGGTGCTGGGGCGCAGCCCGGGCCCCAGGGCCCGGCGGCACGCGTCTGCGCTGAGCAGGGGCACGCGGGCCTCCCTCACCGCCTCAGCCTCCGGCCCATCTACAGGGCAGCGACGGCGTGGGCTCAGGCGTGGGGGGCAGGGGCTCCGTTCGGAGGGTCCCTCCCTCCCATTGCACCCCTTTGATCCCTCCCCCTTTGCAAGGTCGGGCAGCGTTTGGCGAAGACAGTTGGGCGTAGGTCTGAGGCGGTGCACACTGGCCTCCCCAGACCCTATTGCTTCTAGACAAACCCGCGCTGGCCCAGCCCTGCCGGTACCTTCGAAAAGGGCCCCCCAGCCCGCGATGGCGCAGGAGGTGCCGGCGGGGGGCTCCCGGGGTCCCCGGGGCAGACACACGGGGCCCGCGGCCCCCGCCGGGCTCGCTGGCGTCCACAGCTGCACCAGGGCGAGGTCGCTGTGAAAGGTCCGCGGGTCAAACTGGGCAGAGAGGGGCGACGCGGGGTCAGCGAGGTGTGGGGTGGGGGCGCTGCTCCAGCTCCGAGGGCCTGGGGGCCGCCCTCTCACCTCGGGGTGGGACACTATGCGGTTCACCGGCACCTCCTCCGCTGGCTCCCCGCGGGGCCCCTCGGCTAGCGTCGCGGTCCACAGAAGCTCGTTCGGGGCGCTGCGTGGCGAGCGGCATGTTCTCTGGGGCCCTGCTCCCCGCCCACGGACACTCCCCAGCTCCCCAGCCAGCCCCCCAGGCCGGCGGTTTCCTGTCCCAGGGCAGGGAGGGCGAGCCCGGAGCGGGCTGAAGGCGCCCCCTGGCGGGAGCCTGGAGACCCGGAGCTGGGGAGCAGGGCTGCCGCCGCCAGGGGGCAGCAGAGACCGCCGCCCTCGCGCGTGCGGCCCACCCAGGGATCTGGGTGCCGGGGCTGGTCAGAGGCGGGGGGCCGGACGTACCCTGCGAAGCAGTGAGCCGCAGTGAGCACCCAGGACGCCGCCACCAGGACGCCGCCGCACAGGGGCCGCCCGCTGAGCCGCAGCCGCACCAGCCAGGGCCAGGCCCCGGGCCGCGCCGCGCTGCCCCCCACGATGCGGCCACTGGCCCGTGTCCCATTGACCTTCCCCAGGCGCCTCTCGCCACATGGCCCTGAGAGGAGAAAGGTGGAAGTCATGAGGGACAAGTCCTGGCGTTCTCACCGTCCAGATCCCTCCCGGGTCCACCTGCTCTCAGCCCCGTCCCCTTGGAACTTGTTTTCAGCCTCACCTGGCTCAGGTGGGTCCTGGAGCAGGGGGTCTTGAGGCCTGGGGTACCCCGGTCCTGCTGAAAAACAGACCATTTGAGCTTCCCTGCCATCCTCCCGACCTTCCCTCTACCCCACGCTGGGCCCAGCCCTCTCTCTCTCCTGGGCTCCCCTTCTCTTGCTCCCGCCCCATAGCAGTCAGGGTCTGTGTCAGCAACCACAAGCTTCTCACTCTTCACCAAATGAGCTCACACTGTTCCTTCCTCCTGCTCTTGCACACGCAGAGCCCCAAGCCTGGCAGGCAGGCGCTTTCCTCCTAGACCTTCATACATTGTCCCGTGGCAGCCCCACTCAGCCTCTGTCTCCAAGAGGGAGGCAAGTCAAGGGAGGGCTGGGATGGACAGGAGAACAGTCCCAGGCGGTTGGTGCAAGCTCACCTGTGCAGGGGGCGGTGCGGTTGGCACAACTTTGGCACTCATGCAATCGATGCTGCATCTCCATCGCCACTAGATTTACGGCCCGCTGGGCGCTCCTCCGGGCGACCTGCAATGCCTTTGTCCCCTGGGCTGACAGAGCTGCGGGGACATGGGGCACCGTGATGCCTGGTGGGGAGGAGCTGTGGGCTTGTCCTCCGTGCCCCGGCTCCAAGCCCTGCCTTGGGAGACCCGCAGGGAATCAGGCTGGGCTTCTGAGCGCTGGGGTGGAATGGGAGGAGACAGAGTCCCAAGGCCCCGGGCCCAGCACTCAGAGCCAATGGTTCTGGATTCTCAGCCCCGTATATCGCTGTCATTCAGCTGGGCTGGAATCTTTTTTGTTAATCCTCACCTGAGCCTGTTTCTCCATTGATTTCCAGAGAGAGTGGAAGAGAGAGGGTAAGACAGAACTATCGATGTGAGAGGAACACATTGATTGGTTGCCTTCGGCCCGAGCCCCAACCTGGGCCCGGGGAAGGGAAGAGCCTGCAACCAAGGTACCTGCCCTTGACCACATTCGAATCTGGAACGCTTTGGTCCACAGGCCAATGCTCTATCCACGGAGCCAACCTGGCTAGGGCTGGGCTGGAATCTTGGAAAAGGGCATTTCCTTGAAAACCTCGAAGGAAAAGCTGTTCTCTGAAGGTTCAGATATCACAGAACTCAGATGTATTGACTCAAAACGACTGTGGTTGAATTGCCCACCGTCAGGCCGAGAGCCAAGGGGGTGCTCTAGGCTCTCTCCTCCCGGCTCACCTTCCCTGATGCACACCCTCGCTGGCTCCCCTCCCCTTTCCATCCTCATCTTCCCCCTCCCTCTCCTACCTGTGCTCCGGGCCCCTTCTCCCAGCAGGGCGGGCAGAAGAAGCCAAAGGTCCTTGTGAATGCAGGTGGCAAGCTCATGTTCCTCTGCCCAGGACCCACTTCCGCTCGGCTCCTCCCTCCTTGGCCGCTCCCTCAGACCCCCCGGGGCTCACCTTGCAGGGTGCTGAAAGGCAGGCGCATGTACAGCGGGTGCCCCTGGGCACATGGTGGGCATGGGAGGGGCAGCAGCAGCAGCAGCAGAGCCAGCAGCATGGTGACCAGGAGCCGGGGCACTGGCCCTGTCCTATTTTCCCCTCGGAGTCCACCCTCCAGGCGCTTATCCTGTGGCGCCTGCCTTTCTGTCCCTGAGCACTGAATTCACGTCCCTCAAACCATCTGACCCTATTTCTCTTACATCAAAGCTACCATTTCCCTCGGTGGCCCCTCACCTGGTCCTTAGCTCACGGAGCCCACAGGGGAATGGGGCTGAGGGGCTATATAGGGGACAGATGGGGGAGGTGCACAGGCGGAGGCCAGGGTAGAGGGAGGGCACAGGGTAGTGGGCTCAGCCCTCACCTTTGAAATTTCGTCATCCGGCTCTGAGGCCCCAAGGCCCCCTTCCCTCAAAGGAGCCCTTGTTTCTGCGGCTCCATCAAAGGGGCCTGGACAGCCCGGAAGAGCTGGCGGTTAGGCTGGGGGCCAGGCAGAGGGGGGCTGATGGGCAGGGGCTGGCCCAGATGGAGGGTCTCCAAGGCTCAGATGGAGGGTTTCCCATCTGCCTCGATTCCCTGAGGCGGTCACAGCTATGCTGGGGGCAGATGATCATGGGGGAAGGTGGGCAGGGGTTGTCTGAGGGTCCTGGGCAGCCCCAGCCCCTGAGGAGGTGCCTGAGCTCCCAGCTCCTTTGCCCCTAATTGCTTGGCAGCATCCCTCCCCAATGTGGTCATTTCTAACGATGATCAAAGTGCCCTAATTAGTGCCCTGATTGCCCCACTGGGGGTAGCGGGGTGGGAAGCGGCAGAGGCAGGCGGACACTGGAGTGGCCCAGAGAGGAAGGCGGGAGAGGAAAAGCCCCACCAGTGGCCCAGTTTGGGGAGGACGGGCCCCAGCAGCTCCGGCCGCTCTCCAGACCTCCCCCCCTGCGCAGGCCCCTCTCCCTCCGCCTCCCCCCCCCCCCCCCCCGGGCCTGCCCAGCATTGTTCTCAGTGGCTATGGCCCTGATCTGGCAAAGGGAGTCTTCTGGAGTCTCATGGGAAGGGCTACAAACTGGGCAGCTCTCATGGGACAGAGTCCCCACCTGGTGCCCTTCTGTCCCCCCAAAATGTCCTGGGCCCCCCAAACTAATCCTGACATCCCAGTTCATGCTGGTGACTGCAGGGTGGCTTGGCAGGCCTGGTCCTTTTCCAGAGTGGATTCTGTCCTGGCATCGCTCCAGCCCTTGTTCCTTCTGCACAGGTGAGCGAGCCTCTAATGGGAACCTGCCCCACTTGGTTAGACAGAGGCTCAGACCTGCAATGTTAGGGCTGTGGCTGGGGTTCTGGGGCGCCCTGGCCCAGGCAAGCCAGGGGCAGGCGCCCTTCCTCTCTCCCTGCCAAAGAGTGGAGGGTTAGGGGAGACCCACACACACTCCCACTCTCGCCGCAGCTCAGGACACGCCACCTGGCCCCAGGGTGGGAAGAAGAGCTTTCATCAAGCCGGAGAGGGGATTGTCAATGGACAATCTGCCAGGAGAAGATTCGAACCTGGCGGGTGGGGAAGGCCCAGAATCTGGCTTCACGTTGGGAAGGAAGCTGCCACTCTGGTGGCAAAGGAGCCCCGCCCCCCACAGAGAAATGAAATGGTTTTAAATCTAACCCGTTGAGATGCGAGTCCCCTATCAGCTGGCGAGAGTCCGTGGCCATGTGAGCTTGGCCACTGGTCTGTCTGCTGTCGGGGAGCAGGGCTTGGTCTCCTCCCTGTGGTGTCAGCATCTGGGACAGAGCCTGGCACACTATTTGCTAACCAAAAGAAGGCATGAGTGACCAGCACTGGCCCCTCTTCCTGCTCCGGGGCTGAATTCCCTGCCTCCTGCCTGCCCACCTCCATCTGCCCAGTTCAAGCCTGAGGGCTCCCTGCCCTGTCAGCTCCCTTTCCACACAGGGGGGCCCTTCCCATCCATGCCCACGTCCAGTCTGCTGGTCCCTTCCTCTCCCTTGGAGTGTGGGTCAGCGGGAGAGAAGCGACATTGTCTGGGAAGGCCTGTGGGTACCAATACTTATTTATTTTAAATACGTTTTTATTGACTTCAGAGAGGAAGAGAGAGAGAGAACTAGAAACACAAATGACAAAAGAGAATCATTGATTGGCTGCCTCCTGCATGTCCTCAACTGAGATCAAGCTCACAACCCAGGCATGTGCCCTGACCTGGAATCCAACCATGACCTCCTGGTTCATAGGCCGATGCTCAACCATTGAGCGCCCTGGTTGGGCGGTATTAGCACTTTACATGGTTATCTCTGAACTTGGGGTAGGAATGTGGCCCCCAGCCCTAGGTGGCAGAACTGGGGTTTCCTCTCTTCCGCTGTCCCCAAGTTCTTTCTCTCTGCCTCCCAGTTTATTGGACAGGGTCGGGCAGGAGGTCTGTGAGGGTGCAGGAGGGAAGCAGAAGGGACTCCAGAGACTGTTGGTGACGTTTGCAGCTTCTGGATTCTCAGCCTTCCCTCCAGGCTCCAGGCTCCTGCCTGGGAGGCGAGCTGCCTTGTCTGCCATATGCTGGCCTTCCTGCCCTGGCCCTGCGAGGCCACAGGCTGTCCCACCTCCATCCCTCTCCCAGGAGGAGGCAGCCTCGGCCCCCACCTCCCACTTCAGGAGAAGGGCGGGAAAAGAGCTGGGGCCTTTTTGCTGATACCTGTGGAAACCGGGGCAGCCTGTGTCAGGAGGCTCCAGTGGGTGAGCCAGCCAGGCGGCCTCCCCTCTGGCACAGAGCCCGCTCTTGTACTCAGAGGAGGGCGCTGGAGGGACCCAGAGCCTCTGGAAATGGGAAGGAGACCCAGGCACTTGCCACCCAGAGACAGAAGCTGTCTTTCCAGGTCGCTACGCTTGTCCTCTGGGCGAGGACCTTCCCCTTCCTTCTTTCTCAGAACCCTCTCTTCATTCCAAACCGCCCTCTGCCCTCTCCCTTCATTCCAAACCGCCCTGAACTCCCTAGAGCTCCACCAGGAATGGGTAAAAGCCACTGGGCAGAAGATTCA